AACTTCCTCATTGCAATCAATTGCAAAAAATAATGAGTTTGATTTGAGATTTATAATTTTAAGGTATACGTTAACTATATGAACAGTAAGAGAGTTTTTGAAACTGAAATGATTAGATAAATGCTTGAGGTTGAAATGGGGTAGTGATGCCAATATGAAGTGCCGTATGCTGATAGTACCTCCTAATCTACTCTTCTACTGAATTTCGACTCTTACCTCTAAGCTAGGGAAGCTCAGAAGCCTGAGTAACCCTGTAAGAGACTATAGCAATAAACTCAGTTGAAGATGCAAGACTTCTTGAACACATTGACATGACAACTTGAATTAAAGCATCGGAGTCGACGACTCCATTGGTGTCAGAAATGGCTTTTGAGATAGGTACATAGAATGTAACAACACTAAACAAACTAGTTTGTCACAGCAGTCCTTGCTGGATGAAATATCCATAGATTCCAATAGGTCAGGATGAAGGAAGAAAGGATACCAACGCAATTGCTTAACAAAAAAAATGTGAGTGAGACCTACGGGAAGGCTAAAAACAAGATAGGGAGACGAGATAGACTGGGACACCAGGGATAAGCTTGGGTCCAGAAATTAGGAATTCATAAACGAGAGAGAGATAAATACTTGTGGATAGCAAAATTTCCCAAATGCTTTGTGCAATACTTGTGTACTTTTCAAGTCTTTATTGGGAAAAGTAGACTTTCATTATTCACCCTTCTATAAACTCAAGAATATACAGGAGTATACAAAAACATGTCACATCTGGCTTGGCAAAAAGAATCGAGAGTTATATCAGAAAGTTTTAAATAGATAATGGCCAATCTCGCTTTTTGTGGGAAGTAATCCCAGCGAAGAAAATTTTTTGGCTTGTTAAAATTTGAAGCACAAGCAGATTTTATGAACTAAATGTTAAAATAGTTATGAAAATGAAAATTAGTTTCTTGCTCGTTTATGTGCTATTTAAGAACTGCTTCAATGGTTTCTAAGTGTTTCTTAACACCAAAAAGGAATAACGTACTATTATGGCTTATCTTAAATATTTTGGTAAAATTTTCGTAAACATCAACAATCAAAAAACTTCACCCTTTTGCTATCTCGTTTCGCACAAGAGAAATAAATTTGCTACTAATTTTCCAAAAACACTGAGCACAAAACACTGAGCATCAGTATATCATTGCTTGTTGTTAGCATTAACAACTAAATTCAGTCTATGTGATGTGCAATAAGTTCTCTTCACTCTATTTGTTTGTAACACACTCGATTCTTCTCTAGCCCATTCATCAAACATTCATCAAACCCAACATTCACGGAATTGTCCATGTTCAATCAAGTGTGTTTAGGATCGCGACACTAATCGTTTTGGCGTCAAACTTTTCTAATTACTGAAACGCTATGAATGTTTCTTTGATCGTATATTTTTTGTCAAGGTACCGAATGCCGATGGACATTACACTTTTCCTAATATGTCAGGTATTTCATCTGCCAAAGTAGAAAAGCTCTAACAGTTTTCATAGAATCTGGCTTCACATAGACTTGATTTATCTCCGGCAGTCGTACATAGACGTCTGATAGACTTTTTGTGTAGTTTATATACCATCTTATTATATACCATCATACAGTGTTATGTTTCCACCAATCAATGACAAAGGTTATTGTACGTAGTTAATTGAGAGCTGTAGCAGGAGCTAATCATCAGGAACAAGCAGATCTAAAAGCACTGAGGTTCGGTAACATCCCAGTAGAGCTTATAAAATGTGTAGCAACAAAACTATACCAAGAACTTGAGACACTGCTCCAAACGGTAGATAAACCAATTCCAGAAAAATGGAACATAGCCGTAATTCATTCATGATTGGTACCTATCCATCCTACATATAAAGGGAGACAGATAATACAATTGCGACAAATATGGCAAAATATATATAAAACTATATAAAGCATAGGGAAAAATTCTTATCAATAAGAGAGAGCTAACACATCTAGTGTTTATAGACCTAAAAAGCGTGTGATAGCATCCCACAAAGCAAGTTATGAGAAGGAATTGGAAAAACAGCTAAAATCAAGATGGGGCAGAGAATGTCTAATGGCTGCCAGATCACTAAAAAACTCAAGCAGAGATGTTGCCGAGATGTTTTCCTTGTTCAAAATATATCTAGAGCAAGTACTAACACAGTGGAAAAGAAAATGCAAATGTGTGATAATTACGCTAAACGATAACATCATATACACACTATGTTTCGCCGACAAACATATTTATACAGGGTATCTCAGCGAGATCGGTCATTAGACGTTTCTGGGGTTTTTGCCAAAATAAAAATTTGAGAATTCAGAGTTAAGTAATATCATATATCAAGAACTCATTGAAAAGGCGTGTTTTCCATGACACACTAGGTTAATATCGATATGGTATGTGAGCATTTTTCAAAAAACCCTAATTATTTCCCAAACTATTAATGTTAGGTATAGGACATATAGAGTACAAAAGATGTAAAATGAGACGCCGAAGACGACTAAGTAATAAAATACGGGGGTTGCCATTTAAAAAATTAAGTTATGGTATTTCCAAATTTCGAAAAGTTAACGTGATGTGACCAAACGATCTAGACAGCCGTTCTTTGCACCAAAATATACTCCATCATGTTGCTTAAGCATGTTCTGAATCCTAAATTGATATCTCAAAAATCGAGTGTTCTCTGATTTTTTGAACAAATGTCTGCTGGAGCAAATTTTTATAGAAAAATTCGAATAACTCGAGAACGGCTGAATCAAATTGCAGAGAGTCAAGTTATTCATCAGCCTTGAAAACAGACAAATCCAAACTTGTACAAATATATACGTTGTTCCATTTAAAAAAATAAAGTAGATGGCGACTTCCGGTATGATCGGAAGTGTTAGAAATCTGAAAATATTTTAGTCGAAGAGAACGCAATTGATAATACTTAAATCTAAATTTTCAAATTTTTATTTTGACCGGAACCTCAGAAACGTCTAATGACCGGTGTCGCTGAGACACCCTGAAGAAGCTTATTAAGAGCTAAACGATGAGAAGTTCATAAAATATACCAGCAAGTATTAATATTTGTTACCAGTGACATAACACCAGAAAGCACGTTTGGACGAACAGAGGAAAGTAGATACTACAAATCAGAAGTTGACAGAAGATATTAAGTAACCTGAAGAAGCAGATGATAAGAGGTTTATTCAACTATATCTAAACATCGTTTCAGCTTTCAAAGCAAGACATCCACCGCAATAACAATACCAATTAGAAAATTATGACAAATTTTCTAAAATGTGTTCATGTTTTAACATCCTCATTCGTTTGCACCTTTAGAAGAGTGTCATAATGTCCATGAATCTATGGTTCCTTACTATAGAAGTTATGATTAGAACGGCTAAACATAATTATATTGTATGAGATAATTTCTTTGCTTGTCTTCTACAGGTACCAAGTAACTGAAAGGTTCTTGACATGTTCAGAAACTTTTAGAGAGAACAAAACTTATCAAAATACTACCAAAAGAAAAATACTAATGCTGTCTACAACAGAACAGAATCATTATCATTATGAAAAAGTTACTGAATTTCTGTAATAAAAATTATTGTGGTAATAAATAAGAAAGAAAATTCCTGAAATTGAATTTCCCATAAAAAGGAAAATTTTTGATTCCTAGTAAAATATTGTAAAAGAAGTTTGTATACTATAAACGGTGTGCGTATACAATTTTAAAGGTATATCCAAAATAAACATGGAGGGTTGTAGAAAATACGAGGATCGGTAGAGGGTAAAGTTGGGGGGACACAATGGAAGAGAGGATGCTCCGAATCCGCTCCTTTCGAAAGGAGCGCGGCTATATTTTCCACCCGGGGGCAATTTATTTTTCTACCCCAGCACGGGCGTTATCTAAACAGCACCGAAAATAATATCGCCCTGATAAAAGTGCCCCATCTCTTTTTCCTACTGCGCCATCTCCACAAACCTTCCCGCTTTACACCCTTCGGATAAATATTACTTTCCAAAAATTAGGTACCCACATACTTAATACAAAATAAAATTAACAAAATACACATTCCCTCCAAATACAAATCTCTTCCCCACTACCCAACATTTCAAACGCAGCAGGCGTTTTTCAACAGTGGTGGGAGTAGGTAACAAAAGCTATCGTCACGCCGTAATCAATCGATACGCGATGCCAACCGCACGGCAAAAAAATAATCCGATGCATGTATAGCAAATACGCCAAAAAAGTCCCCCTTTTATCGGTTTTCTTTCGGCTCCGGAATCCCGGAGGCAAAACAAAAGCAGGAAAAACGTTTCGAAACAAGCGAAGAAGAAGAAGAAGGCAGGAGGCAAAACGACAAAGGAAAGTCGACGACTGAGAGCCAATGCTGCCTCGCGTCCACTTGAAAAAGGGGCCTGACAATCGGCTCCGGGCGGAGCCTAGTGATTTGTGGTCGCCATTTTGTCAAATAGTAGTGTTTTGCCAGACGGCTTATCTGATTGGACAATCTCCCACCTTTTATTTTACTATAACCAAAAAATCAAAAAAAATAAATTTACTTAAAATGAATTATCTTATTTAATACAAAAATATTATATTCATTTATATCATATTATTCATTTGTTTCTCTACATTTATTTTATATTAATATTTTGAAATATTTTATATCTCATTAAAATTATTTTGGTTTTTGTAATTGGGTTTAATTCAAATTATTATATATATGATATATATTTATATATATATATATAATTTTTGAAGTTATAATATATATATATATATATAAAATCTTAAAGTCCGGTTAACATTAAAAAAAAGTGAAAGAAAAAAATCAAAAAGAATAGTGAATTCCGGAGTTTAGACTCCACCTCATATATAAATCGACGCCCCTTGGTAACATAACCTCCAATTGGAGCTCGTCGTGAGTCGAAGTAACACGAACGTGCACGATCGTCGTTGCCAAGGGTAACGTCCCAAACGGATTCCAGTAACATTTAGTGCGGGTGCAAGGTTCATAGCGGTAGTGTCGTGTTGGAGATTTTTTTGTTGTTGTGTTGCAACATGAAGGCATATTGATAGAAAATGGACTGAAAACCGTGACTGTAATCGCCCGTGCCACACACACACAACTTTCTCTTATAAATTGTGACTGTTTATAAATATCGACTGTGATAGTGACTTGGATTTTCGATAATTTAATTTAAAAAAAAACAAAAACAGCGTAATCCGATTTAACACTAAAATCGAAGTATAAAAACAAACAAACGACGGTTTCTTTCCTTTTTTGTTTTCTGAAAAGATACCTTGACGTAAAAGTGTTTTTTTAAGTTTAAACCGAAAAGGTGGTGCTTTTTTGTGGAAAGTTGAAAAAAGTTTATCTTTTTTTTTGGAAATAAGAAAAATTTAAAACGGTGAGTTTATTTTATTTATCAAGTTGTATTGGTTAGTGTAGGATTATTAATAATAACGACAGTTTAATAGAATATGCAAATTTGTTAGGGAAATTTGCATAGATATGGATTTTAATGAAAAATTGAAATAAATGAGTTTGTTATAATATTTCGATAATGTCCCAATACTTTTTCCCGATTAAGATAATAATAAAAAAAGCACTTATTAAATTAACTTACACAACAAAAACAATTTATTATCGTTATTCGTTAAGTTACATTTATTTATTGCTTCCTCCCAATCAATTAAATTAACAACAATTAAGTAAATTAATGGCTACCTGTAAGTTTTAACTTATATTTACCAGGAAAGAGATTATGATCACAAAAACCAACAGATTTCTTTGATCGTATCTCTTTAATCATTTTTTTTTTCGGTTATAATAAAGCAATTCGATCATCAATCAATAAGTACATCATCAAATTGTACACGACACGATTTTATTTTGTAATTTGTAGTAAGCGATGAAAGTAATAATAATTATTTTTATTGCCATGATCATGGTTAACCGATTGTAACATTAAAAAAATATAATTAAACAAATTGGGAGATAAAATATATATATTATATATATAAAATAAAATTCTTTCTTTTTTGGAATGTATTGAGGAATGTTTTGACTAAAATTATATAATTTATCTTCTTTATATGATTATCAGAAAAGTTCAATATATTACGTTTTTGAATTAATTGAAAAATCTAATAAATCTTCACCGGTTAATTTTACTCTGTTACCGAGAAGCCCGCATTATTTAAATTTATTGCAAACATAGTCTGCATGTTCAATCTATGATATATGGCTCATTTATACTTTAATATATTTCTGTGTAGACAACATCCAAACAGATTTAAATGTTATCAAACTTTTTCTTAATTCTTAACTAAGTCCGAATTTTGGAATTAAACTTTTTTGATTACATAACTACATAATTGATAATAATTGGACCAATTAAATTACCAAAAACTAGTGGTTGTTTGATGCGAACCTCGAATATCATAAATTTTAGATTAGCACAAACAAGATCTTTGATTTTTGGATACTAAAAATTTAAGGAAAGAACTCCACAACTACATATTTCTATTATATATGTTGAAAAATCGCTGAAACATGATTGGTCTTGATAATTCTTTGTGCTAGAAGTGTTTCATAAGCTTTGAAAATTTGAAGTTCATTTATACATAAGATGCACGAAATGAGACAAAAAGTTGTCTAAATTTTGAGTAGGTGCTTATCAAATTTACCCAAAATCGAATTCATGATAACTACTGATTTAAAAACAGTACTTTTTCTTATTAGCGAAGATATGCATCCTATAAACATAATTTGCTGAAATGCTTTACTTAACTTAGAAAGATTAATGTGATTAATATAGCAATAATTGTGCACATTCCTAAATGTTGATACAAAAATGTATGGAACAATATTTACTTTATAAGCAATGATTTGAACAAGGAACCAAGTAGCGAATTATTCTGTGGAATTTGTTGGAATCTCTTTAATCTTAACTGGTAGTTGATAGCTGAAGTATAATATTACACCATCATTTATGTAATTTTTAATGAAGCGATTCGCAAATCTTATTGCGTCGCAGAAATAAAAATCACAACTGCTTTAACACGTCTTAATAACCATTTAATATTATAGCGATGCAAAAGTCGAGGAGTTAATCAGAGAATCTGGATTACCATTGCACTACATCTCCTGGTTCATTATATTGAGGCTAAAGTATTGTCTAAACTGTTGAGATAAGTTATACTAGTTAAACGCTTTGATAAACACAAAACCAAATGTTCACAAAAAGATGATGATGTCTTGAAATGATCGCATCTTCGGCAAATAAAATGTTAACTACATAAGTCTTGGTACTTTAAGAGCTGGTTCTGAAGTAAGCTAGGCCAACTCAGCATCATATTTACTTACTCCAAAATAAGTATGTTAATACTCAAACTATGCAAATTTTAAGTTAATTCACCGATGGAATTACAAGATTCAGAAATTCTTCGATATTTAGCCTTTATTGACAAGTGTTGCCATTGATATGGCAATAATGAAACAGATTAGGTATGAAACTGGACTAAAAGATAAAATTTACGGTTACACATTATCTTACAACTTACACAAAAATTTAGATATTTTAGAAATAAAAGTAATATTTTCGCCTATTGGATTTGCTGCTTAAAATCATTTAACAAACATTTTAACATAATGATACTAATTCAATAAGGAGGTCGACTGAGGTTTTTGAGTACAGGTCGACACAAGTTTGAGCTTTGCTTAATTTCTTAGTGGGTATCAACTGGATCATTCTAAAATCAAGTTAATTGAAAAACGTGCTTATTAGACTTATAAGACAGGGAGTGGGGAGAAAATTTTTGGTTATAAACCCCTGGTATAAGCGTATTTATTCATGTTTGTCTTTATCCGAATTCGTTATCGCTTCCCCATTTGTGCACCTACTTGTCTAAGTCACCCCAAAGTTATCTATATTGACAGATATTTCTGTAATTCTATCTTGTTTGTTCCAATTCTTGTTTGTTTGATAATAATGTATTTCGAGGAAGAATATGCTGGTAAATATTTTATTTTTGACACTATAAAATCTTATTGACTTCACAATAAGAGCATATTGATTTGCCTTGTCAAATATATTTTAACCCTTTCAAGCATTTTAAAAAGTAAAAAAGAATAAATTGCATCGCAGTCTATTATAGAGTCATTCTAGCATAGGACTAAAATATTTTTAGGATGTTATTTTAAATGGAATGGTATAGTTTTTAGAATATATTCTGATTCGTACTTTTAATTTTTGAGATATGTTGATTTAAAAGATTTTTTAATAATTATCCCTTTGCTCTTTGAATCTGCAATTCTTACTCATCAATTATGCTAGATAGATACAAGTTGGTACAAGTAGGCACTCCTTAGATATAGGCTAAGTGATACCAACAATTTGTCCTTACTTGTATAAAAATGAATTTTAAAATTTTTAGTACTTTACATAATTTTGCAAAAAGTTGGCGAATTATCTTATTGTATTCCTTACTAATAAAACGAGCAAATTTTGTTATTTAATTGGTTACTAATTTTCTAATACCTTAAAATCTACAACAAATGGGTGCAGGAATCCTCTCTCTGATAATCTACTCAATACAAAATATTTCATTTCCACTTTTTTAATACCACTCAAGACTTTAATGGTTTAGAAATACATATTTAAAGACCTTCATTGTATCATACACAACTATTTTATTATCGGAAAGCAAAGACGATTTTGAACGGTTTTTATACAGCTTTACTATTATCTCTCAAAGATTTCAATATTTTGATATCGATCGAAAAAACACATTTCTAAGGAACCAATTAGATGCAAGCTTGTGGTAAACAATAAAATAATTCATCAAACTATGAAGGAGTAGAAACTTCTAGTGATAGAAATCTTATAAATGAAGCAAAAAAACAGGCAAACAAAGATCTGGATATATAAAAGACTTATGGAGAAACCAGTATATGTCAAGTCCGAAAATATAAAATCTGTGTAAGACCTTATTCGGGCAAATAGGGCAAAAACAAATAATAGGATTAGCCGAAATGAAGGCATTCAGAACAATCAGTCTATGTGATCATGTGGAGACCACTACAATAAGAGATCAATATGGAGTACAGGATTTGGTGATTTGGGTGCGCAACGGGAATGGAGAGATCATGTCAAAAGGATGTCGAAGGAAAGATTTGCCAAAGAAATTGGAAAAAAGACCATCTAAAAGATGGTTTAGAAGAAGAAGATGAAAAAACGTATATATATATATAACATTTATCTTACTATTTCTTCTATAAACGAGTAACCTATGATTATCCTTTAAAAAAAAAAAAAAAAACAAATAATAACGTACTTCTTATTACACCAATTATAGCAAAACCATCTTCAGGAGTACCTCAATTTATAAGTCAAATTACAATCCAGGTTAGTAAAATAACATTAAACACAATAATAGAACCTCGCAAGGTAATAAAAGAAAATATAACCGACTTGTAAAGAAGATACCATGAAGTAACGATTTTATCATAATCATTACTAATACATAATAACGAGTTATTAATGTTATCTTATTAACCTGATTCGTATTTTGATTCATTTGCAAATTGACTTAGCTGAACGAAAATGTGAAATAAATTTTTGTAATAGATTAAAAAAAAAAGTTTTTTGAAGTATTGTTTTATTTTTAAAATTAGGTTCGACTAATTTTGGTGATACACCATCTTTAGGAGCTTATTGGAAAATGTAAAATTGATTCAAAAACAGTAATCTTATTTATATTTTTTAAATTAACATACTCCTGATGATGATGCATTCACCGAAACTAGTCAAACTTAATTTTTATAATAAAACGTTGTTACTAAACACTCAAATAATTGAGTTTAACTTTTTTTAGGCTAATATAAAATATTGTATACAAAAATGAGTAAGTTTTTAGTTTTACAACTTTCAACAAATTGAGATATAATTCAGTATTTATGAACATTCTTTGTGATATAATTCACTAATTTAAAAGGCAATAAAATTGTTGCAGTAAATCATCCAATGATAAGATTTAACTCTTTCCATTTCCAAATATATGTTTCAAGTGTTGTTTAGTCGGAAAAGATCACAAAACAGTTTATAGATATAAAATATTTATTAATTCATCATATTTTTTTTTGATTTAAGAAATATAAGATTAATTTAATTGTTATGTTTATTTATCTCAATGAAGCAAATCGATTAAGATCAAGAAGACGTCTTTTTGTACAAATAAATATAAAAGAAGTATTAAAAACAAAGAAAAAGTAAAAGTCTAACAAATATTAATTATTTAAAGTCATTTAAAATTCGACATTTATTGAGGAAAGAACATGGACAAAACTCCACGGGTTAAAATAACAGTTAGAAAGTTCTTAGCTTCGGGCTAAAACTGTATTATCCGATCGTTAACTTCTAATCTACTACTTGCTTATGGAAATTTCGCTTTATTAGTCATTAGGCGCTTACGTGGTCATTAGTCAACGTTGACGTATCTGATTAAAACATCGTGTTATAAACTGAGTTTTACAAGTTTTTTTAAAATAAATATATATATTTTGATTTATTTTTTACCTAAGTAAATAAAGAGAAAGAGTTACTCGCTTGATTTAGCAGTGCTATCTCCGAAATCAAATTATATCTTTGAGATTGGTATATATTATTTGTTTTGTTAACCACAGCAGTAATATTGGTTGATTCAAATTAGACAGGTCTTATCAAAATCCAAACCACTTTTTTAATTAATTTTTGTGATGACGTTATTCGTTATTTGATAAGCAAAACAAATCTATTTAAATTATTTAATTTATCTGATACGATTTTCTTTTCTGTTTCAGTTAAAAAGCGTTTGCCGACGGACAACAACAGACTTATTATAGACTCGCGGTTAACGAATAAAAGTCGGGATAATAAATTTGATAATATTAAAAAATTTTTTTTATTAATTTTAATTTTTTGAAACGTACGTTTCTTTATTTTTTCGCGTGTGATGTGTTAAAACCATTAACTGGCCCCTATGATTATGGAGATGCCGAACGATTCCGCCTCTGTAGGGCGATGGTACGAGTCCCCAAGGACCGGCACTAGCGCCAGTCCTGGTCAAGGGGGCCTCGACGGCGGCGCCGACGTCGCCGGTAGCGTCGCCGAACACATGGGTTTCTTTTTGGATCCATCCGGAAGCCAAAGAGCAGCTCGGTATTATCACCAAAGTATGCATTCACCTTATGGAAGTGTTGCTAGTCATGGTAAGTAAATAAAATTTTAATCGCCTTTCTTGGAAATTCGGTTTCTTTAAACTTTTATTATTTTTGGTTGACTCGTAAAAACGTATGGGTTTTTTTATATCAGTCGTAAAAGAAATTCTTTTTTTCTTCTTACCGAAAATAATTTGCATCCTGACGTGAACTGAAATTATTATTAGAGATGACTAAACGAATAAAAAGTTATCAAATAAAACTTAAATTAAATCTTCTTTAGACTCTATTTAAGTGTGTTTGAGATAAAAGAATTATTATACTTAAAAATCAAGTTACAACAAACTTAATCACAATTCATTTCATTGAACGATCGTCCAGATATCGACTAATACATAGATTTACTTTATTATTTTCAAAACGAAATTGATTAAACCTGACCTTTACTTGATGATTTGATAAAATCTGGACTATTTTCAACGACTACTTTAATTAATTTTTAATAATTTTTTAAAAATTTACATGATTTATTTTATAGATTTAATAAAAAATTTAAAAATCAACGCAAATAAATCTTCACCGGTTAATTTTGCTCTGTTACTGAGAAGCCCGCATTATTTAAATTTATTGCAAACATAGTCTGCATGTTCAATCTATGATATATGGCTCATTTATACTTTAATATATTTCTGTGTAGACAACATCCAAACAGATTTAAATGTTATCAAACTTTTTCTTAATTCTTAACTAAGTCCGAATTTTGGAATTAAACTTTTTTGATTACATAACTACATAATTGATAATAATTGGACCAATTAAATTACCAAAAACTAGTGGTTGTTTGATGCGAACCTCGAATATCATAAATTTTAGATTAGCACAAACAAGATCTTTGATTTTTGGATACTAAAAATTTAAGGAAAGAACTCCACAACTACATATTTCTATTATATATGTTGAAAAATCGCTGAAACATGATTGGTCTTGATAATTCTTTGTGCTAGAAGTGTTTCATAAGCTTTGAAAATTTGAAGTTCATTTATACATAAGATGCACGAAATGAGACAAAAAGTTGTCTAAATTTTGAGTAGGTGCTTATCAAATTTACCCAAAATCGAATTCATGATAACTACTGATTTAAAAACAGTACTTTTTCTTATTAGCGAAGATATGCATCCTATAAACATAATTTGCTGAAATGCTTTACTTAACTTAGAAAGATTAATGTGATTAATATAGCAATAATTGTGCACATTCCTAAATGTTGATACAAAAATGTATGGAACAATATTTACTTTATAAGCAATGATTTGAACAAGGAACCAAGTAGCGAATTATTCTGTGGAATTTGTTGGAATCTCTTTAATCTTAACTGGTAGTTGATAGCTGAAGTATAATATTACACCATCATTTATGAAATTTTTAATGAAGAGCCATTCGCAAATCTTATACCGTCGCAGAAACAAAAATCACAACTGCATGAACACGTCTTAATAACCATTTAATATAATAACGATGCAAAAGTCAAAGAATTAATCAAAGAATCTGGATTACCATTGCACTACATCTCCAGGTTCATTATATTGAGGCTAAAGTATTGTCTAAACTGTTGAGATAATTTATACTACTTAAACGCTGTGGTAAACACAAAACCAAATGTTCACAAAAAGATGATGATGTCTTGAAATGATCGCATCTTCGGCAAATAAAATGTTAACTACATAACTCTTGGAACTTTAAGAGCTGCTTCTGAAGTAACCTAGGCCAACCCAGCATCATATTTACTTATTCTAAAATAACTATGTTAATACTCAAACTATGCAAATTTTAAATTAATTCACCGATGGAATTACACGATTCAGAAATTCTCCGGTATTTAGCCTTTATTGACAAGTGTTGCCATTGATATGGCAATAATGAAACGGAGTTTGTATGGATTTGCAAATAAGTTTATATAAAAATATTAAAACTTTGGTGACAGTTTTATAATTAAATTTATGATACTTATAACGAGAACGATTTAATCACTATTTGAATTATCTTATGGAAAATACGATGATCATAAAATAATTTATGAAATGTTTTGCGCATGAAGCTGGACTTAAAGATAAAATTTACACTTACACACTATCTTGCAACTTACACAAAAATTTAGATATTTTAGAAGTAAAAGTAATATTTTTCGCTTATTTAAGTGTGTTGAGATAAAGGAATTAAAAAAAAACAACAAAACAAAAATTGTGTTCCAAAAAAGCTGTCAAGAATTAAGAGCTGGAATTTGGATGGGTTGGGTTAAAGTTTCAATTTAAGCCATGAAAGATTTTTATTGTTCATACTTTCTATATCAAGTTTTAATGGCATATGAAACTTTGGGATTTGGTCATGCACAAAATGCTCATCTTAAAATTATCATTAATTTATCTCCTAATATATCTTTTGCCAAGGCAGAAAATGTTTACTATTCCCAAACTCTCAATAAAAGGTAGTGTTTAACCTTTTAAAAAGTTTGCTCGTTTAGAATCTTTATCACTGTAGAGGTTCCTGTTCCTTAATCACATTGATGTATGTGCGATGCTGAAGCGATTATGCTGGTACGTTATTTAACTTTCTTTTCTGTTTGGGAAAGCAATCTATAAGGAATAAAAAAAGAGTGGCTGATTTGAGTTTACAAACCAACTGAGTTTACAAATTTTCCGCGTTTTATATGCGACGATACATCGCACATAAAATAACAACTTCTTTTCCGGTCATTCTCTATATAAAAGATTTCACTATCTTCGACGTTTTGAGATATCTTTATCACCTTCGTTTCTAGCAAAATTTTGGATTTATGATATTTTGGTTTATTTTGACAAATTTATTGTTGCACATAAAAATCAACTGATCTTGATTACCTGAATAACAGACAAACCGGTTCTCAGATTGTTAGTCTTGTAACTCGAATTACAATTTGGATCTTAACCCCAAATTTATAAAAATATATAAAATACGATGATCTTACGATTTTCTTGGTATGGTGTTGAGTCGTTGATGCAAATTTTGCATATTTAGACATTTTTTGGAATACTATGAAGAAAATTGACGTCCTTCGCAAACTTGCATAAAATTCACTATCTAAATCCCGCAATAAAGTAAAAAGAACTGAAATATTCGGTAACTCTTTGAGTTGGAATTAAAAAGTATGGTCCTTAAAGTAGATGCCAAAACCAGTAAAAGAGTTTGCCAAAGTCGACTGACGTGTTTACATGACTTTGGAATGAGTAAATTGGTCGCCTGACAGCTCAACCTTTTTTACCTGATTCTTAACTTATCTGAACAAAATAAATACTGTCTTAAAAGTTATTGAAAAGATTTTAGAAACACAACTAAAAATTTTTATGATCAATGCACAGTAAAGACTTAATAATCAGATCAATAGGTTATATTTGAATTATACAATATTCATATGGAATATCTAAATATAATAATTATGGAACTATAATTATAACAACAACAAATAATAAAACAAAGTAACAACTGCAAAACAAAGTGTTTTTATTATAAAGAAAATGAGTTGTTTTGATTGTTGGCTAATTTAAAAATCGTAATCAAATTTCATAACATGTTTATACTCATGTTAGTTTCCCTCTTCATCTATAATTCTGTCGTTGTTTTCATTAAACTTCATTTCAACTTCATTAATGTTTTATAGAATTAAAGTTTTTAGTAGCTAATTTGAAGTAGAAAATTAAAATTTGCTCTATTAGATTAATGGCATTAGTTTTTCTGGTTTATATTGATAAACTTTGCTTGAAAGAATACGTTTTATCCCTGGTTTAGAAAATGATGGTGCAGTTAAAAGGTAAAACCATAATTGTTGTTACTCCATCGTCATTATCAAATTGGGTTGGGTTAGTAATAAGAACTGAAAAAGCATTTCTAAGGATTTTTATGGCATACTCCTTAAAAGGCAGTGACGACATCTAGGCATGTTAAGTCTATCTGTAGATATATCGTAGTTCTTTGTTTTTAATAGTTTTGGATTCTTAGTTGTACCAACGAAATGTAATTTAAATTTGTGGTCTACTTCTGCGTTGGCACAAATAGCGAATAACAATAAAATAAAACACCTCCAGATCAGCAAAATATTTACATGAAACAGTATTATATCGAGGTGAATAGAACGTATTTTTCATATTCCATATTGTACAAGCAGTATCTAACGTTCTGTCAGAAGGATCTTGTCTTCTATTATCGGTATGCCGTTAGCATTATCTATTCTTTCATTAGCAATATCCTGACCTCTGTCAGCAGTGATTAGCCTTTGGCAAACATTTACCAGCTGTCTAGTGTTCTATTAGCTCTATCTAACTTTTTATACGCAATTTCTGGTCTTCTATAAGAAGGATTTAGTCTTATTTTGGTAATATCTAGCCGTTTATGTTTTGTAAGCAGTAAGTAGTCTTCTGTAACGAGTATCTATTTTTCTTTTTCTTTTAGCAACATGTATTCTTTCATTAGCAGTATGTATTTTTCTTCAAGCAACATTTATCTGTCTGTAAGCAATATTTATTCTTTTGCAACCAATATTTATCCTTCTGCAAGTAGTATCTAGTCTTCTATTAGCTGTTTCTGGTATTTTATGAAGGTTATAATCTTCCATTAATTGTGTCCCAGTATCTTGTCATCTGTCAGCAATATCTAGTTTTCTATTAGCGGTTTCTAATCATCTGTAACAGGATTTGGTATTCTATTAACAATATTTAGTCTTCTGTTAACAGTATCTAATCTTCTGCAGTATTTAATCTTTGGCAGGTATTATCTGTTTCTTTTTGCCAGACAAAATTTCGCCTCCTGCAAGAAATATAACCAGTATCTATTTTTCATTCTCAATTTCTCTTCAGATAAAAGTATGTATTCCTCTGCAAACAGTATTTATTTTTCTGCAAGCAATATTTATTCTTCTATGAGTAGTATCAAGTCTTTTATAAGGAATCTAAACTTCCATTAGTCATTTGTCAGCAATATCTAGTAATTTATAATCTATAACATATGAGAATTAACTTGTTGAA